GGAAGTCTGCTCTCTGCGTATGGTTTGACCGCTCATGCGCTTAGATCTTAGGTCAAAAAATGCGAAAGTCAGCGCTACAAATTATTACTCCACCACCCGGTTCCACAAGGTAAGGGGTGGGGCCAATCACTTCAAACTCAACGACTTTGGTAACGATAACAAGGGTTGCAAATGTAAAAGAAAGTGTAGAACATGTGATATAACTAATACAGATAATTACATTGTATCAAACGTTACAAACTTATACATTAACACATATAAAGAAGTAGATGCAGATTGTAACGCTAAAAATGTAGTTTACTGTTTAACATGCAATGGCTGTGGGATACAGTATGTTGGAATGACAGTAAGAAAATTAAAAGAAAGAATTGGAGAACATCTTTCTAATATTTTTTCACACAAGGTACACACACCGTTATATAATCACTTTTACAAATGTGATAGAGGTATAACGGTACAAGTACTAGACTGTATGAAGTCTAATGATAAAACGACATTAATAGAAAAGGAACTTTTTTGGATCAAACTTCTAATGACAGCATATCCCTTTGGGTTGAACGATAACATAAAGGGATATGGAAACATTACAAATATAGATAATCCTCTCATGTACAAGGGCAATCATCCCTTCTTCTCTCTTAAAATTACAAAACAAAGGATAAATAGAGGAAAAAGAAGCAGTAAAAAAATTAAAGTAAGCACATACGATAATATTATAGCAACGATAACAAGTAATAGTGAAACACTCAAACCTATTCATTACTTCAGAATGCTCAAAAGCCTGCGTAAAGAAGAAATTAAGAAACTAATTGAACTCTCCATGTCTGCAGACTTTCTACAAAGAGTTAATAATAAGACTAGGTACTTAATATTTTGTCTGCTAGCTCATTTTCATTTTGACACTACCACAAAAGAAATCACCAAAAAGAACTATCATAATGTAGAGGTCAGTTTCAAAAGCAGGGTGTTTAATGAAATACCCTTCAACAGAATCTTCAATTCACGTACTGTTAGAGATATACTACTCAACGATAATGGAAGGAGCAGTGATTTCACCCCAATTAGAATCGTTTATAAGTACAGCAACACAATGGCTAGCAAAATTTGCAATTACAACAAAGTGTTGAAAGATCTCGACAACGAAAAATTGAAGCAAATACTCAACAACGATTGTATATGTACTACAAATACAGTACAAGAATATGTGGATAAAAATCATGAACACGTTATCACAGGAAATGTAAATCTTATACAAGAAGATGGTTTCAGAAGACTACTGAGTAAAGGGACCAAATATAGATCTGACACAGGCATAACAAGACAAGAAGTTAGAATGGTGTTTGAAGATACACTCAACAAGATAATAAATTATTTTAAATATAAATACAAGGCTAGCAATCACAAGATTAATCTGTTATATAAACATTTTCGTTCATGTTACCATGACAAAGTAAAACCTTTACTGACAAAGGCTAATATTGAAGGTATAGGAGAACACATACCTTACAACTTAATCAAACAATATCAAGAAAAATACGTGTTCTGCCCACTCGACAAAGCAAATAATAACTATGGCATCATCTGTAAGAAGTTCTACCTTCTGAACATTATGCATGAAATGGGCATTTCTTATGATGCTGCCAACCACACATTTGTCTATGGAAATAGTAATAACACATATGAGTTGATGCCTCATACGAACAAGTTTTCTTTAATATTGAAACACAAGTTTCCTTTGTGTTAAGAATAATATCAATATATCCATTGATGCAGAAATACCTACTATATATGCCTTACCAAAGCTACATAAGAACCCAGTTAAATTCAGGTACATCACAGGTGCACATAGCAGTAGTATTAAACCACTGGCTCAGGAATTACGCATAATCTTCACACATCTTAAAAATCACTTCATAAACTACGCTAAAGCAATTCGGAATCGCAACAGGACTATCAAGACATACTGGTCTATAAGTAATATTAATATAAGTCACGAACTACACAGCATCACGTTCGACAATCTCAAAATTTACACAGCAGATTTCACTGACATGTTCACAAATTTAGAGCATGATCTTATTCTTAAGAAAATGCAGGAACTCCTTAACATTTGCTTCAAAAATGCCAACAGATCCTTTATTGCCACTAATGGTTACCATGTTTTCTATACAGATTGGGAAAGAACTCAAGAACAACTACAGATATTACAAATCCAGCGATTTAGTATACTTTATTGACTATCTTTTACGTAACAGCTTTTGTCTTTTTGCTAATAATACGTTCAAACAGACTAAAGGTGTCCCACAAGGTGGCAATTTCAGTCCACTACTAGCAGATCTTACGCTTTCTGTCATGGAATATGACTATGCTAAATCTAAAAAGTTTAATAAAACTAAGCTGTTCATCCCATATAGATATATGGATGATTTGCTTGTTGTTCACAACCAAACTGATGATGATGTGGATGAACTACTTTCTCAAGTTTATCAAAATACCCTTCAGTTGAAAAAAACTCATAATAGTGAGGTTTCTAGTAATTATTTAGATTTAACAATTAATATCATTAACGGTAAAATTAGTACCAAGCTGTATAACAAAACGGATGATTTTACCTTCAGTGTTATCAGATTTCCGTATAGGGACACAAATATCTCTCTTATCAACAAATCCTCTGTTATATATACGGAAACTTTGAGGTTAGCGAACACTTGTTCGTTCTTCAACGCTTTCGTTAGCAAAATAACGGATATGATCACCACTCTTTTGAAAAATGGCTACGAGGAAGATTTTATTATTACTAGCATTGTTAAGTGTATTTATAAAAATAAATTTATAAGTTACAAGTACTCAATCGCAAATAACTATAGAAAGATAAATAGACTAGTCACAGGTTTACTCATTTGCAGCAGTGATCAACACTAATTCCCTTCTTTCCACTGTTCTTTAATTGATTTATTTCTGGTATACCTTCTCATACTCAACATTCTCTCAGTGGTTTTGCCGGTTTACTCCTTTTCCCTTCCTTCCACAAGTATTTACAGCACACTTCGTATTATAGTATAATTCATCATCATCTTGATGCATGAACTTTGCATGTTACCCCTTTTTTACAATCTCTCTCTTTTTGTTTATTTCTCACACCTTCCCCTATGTAGTCTATGTCCTCTTGTCTTCAACCTATCGCACTGATGATGCTCGGGGGTTGGCTAGACAATGATGATTCGTCTGCGATACCGAGCGAAACGGATCATCTGTGTTGTGGAGTGTATTCCTTTCCCATGTTTGTTTTTCTTTGCTTCTAATTGCCCATCTCCCCTGAAACGCTGAGCAGAAGATCTTGCCCACTCCAGAGACTCAGCATTCGCTTTGCTTACATCCAGAACCTCAATCTTTCATTTTCTATTGAATTATTTCAATGTTTGTTCTAATTTATGAAACAAATCAACTAGCCAGTGTTTACTTGCCTTCAGTGTTTACTGTTTACTACTCCTTATCGCGACCACGCGCACCATCAACCTTCCTGACATCTTGATCAACCATCAAGGATCAACAAACGGGCTGCGTATTCGTGGTGAGCCATGACAGACCAAAAGTTCGCTTCATTTTGCCAAATACTTTATCGGATATCAAAAACAACTTTCGTAAAAAAAGCGCGAAAACAAACAATGCTACAGTAACCCACAAAGGGGTTACGTTGACGATATCAGGAGCACAATTATTATTACTGCCCAAGTAATCTAAGTAGTCGAACTTTTTTTGACAATTTAAACGAAGCAATAATGAAGAAGTCTACGCGATAACTGCACAGAAGGTCCATGTCTGGGGAGAGGTCTGAACTTCGGAGAGTCGCGACGCAAGGAGCAGCTCATAAACGATGATCTACACAGCCTTGATCGCTGATGCTGGGCGTGTCAGAGGGGTTGGGTTTGGCGCGACGCCCCTTTTTTTCCACCGGTTGTTGACAAGGGCAAGCGACAAGACTGTAATATATCGTTCCTGCCGGCCGATTTCCTCCATTCACTGTCGCTTACACGCTCCAACAAGTAGTGGAGAACAAGCTGACGGCGCGCCAAAACCGTCCCTCTTGACACGCCCCTTCATCCGCAGCGAGCAAGACTGTAATCGTACACTATCTCTCGCTGCCTTGCGTCACGCTCCAACGAAGTATAACCGCAATCCGAGGTGGAGCAAGTAAAACGAAACGCGTTCAGAAGACTAGTCACTATGATCTAAGCACTAGTTGTACCCATATAAATCAACAAAATTGATGAGCTCAGTTAACAAACGTAGACTGTCTGATCTTTGGACCATGCATTAACAATACCTTATTATTACTACCACATAAACCTTATAGGATCAAACGGGCTGGGCGAACAGAGCGTAAAAGTACAGTCTCTGAAACCTCATACAGAATCACTCACCGAACTAAAACAAACCAAAATGCTCATTAAAACAAGCGTCAACGACCGGAACATTCGAGGCGGCGCATTTCGGCGACGGAAGGGAGGGGGGCATTTTGCACCTTCAATGCTCACTAGTTCCGGTTTACAAGTCTCACTCTGGTGAAACCTGTGAACTCTGTGAAGCTGGAGCAAGCTCGTCGAGCCACCATGGTAAAACCTGTCAACTCTTGTAAGCTCATGAAATAGCTCTCTAGATGGCTCGACACGTCGATGGGAAGTAGCAAAAGTGCAAAATGCCCCCCTCCCCGTCGCCGAACTGCCCCTTCGAGGCTACTTTGACTAAATTTGAGTTGAAAAGGTTTTAGGATGAATCATGTCAGAAGCATGTCTGAGCTCGCAGAGACAAGTAAAGAGCAGCCGTACAAAGTTTGAAAGGTAGAAGAGAAAATAATCAATCGATAAAACAAGACGTGGTTAATGAAAGATATTCTGAATATATCGCTTATTCCACAATAGACGGATAATAGTGTACAGAATAAATTGCGATGGATAGACTTATAAAACGAGCAACTACAAGAAAAAAAAACCGTTGGTCGGTCAATCACTCGCCACGTCGTTTGTGATCTCTTCGGGATTTCCATTTACACCATTAGGAACACTCTTCTCTGTTGGATCACACGAATAATGCTTCCTTAAATGAAGTTTCCTCTCGAAAACAGTGAAAATCGGGCTCTATTAAAAAGACAAAAATATGAAGAACAAGCAATTTCAAGGGTAGTGAGGTATGGGCAGAAGTCTCGACCCAGGAGGTACTTCTACCAGCACCTCACGCTTTCCCGACGGCTCTATGCCACATGCATTAAGGGCTCTACAACGCAAAAAGTACCTGAAGATAGATCTTGTGGAGAGACCACGTTGCTTATAGAAAAGGAGGTAGGCATCATCAGACTGCACATTGTTGATAGATTGCTTCGTCACGATCGAATCGTCGAAAAGCCTCCAGTCTTAACCAGAAAAGTGTGTGTGGCATCATCAATTCAAACTATGAACGGTGAGGAACGGATTTTAACTTCAACTAAAGGAGCTTACAATTCACTTATTAATCACTTCTGTTTCAACAGGAAACCGTCGTGGAAAACAATGGAATCACTGCACATAACTACACTCGAAACCGTCTTAACACGAAACTATCCTATTTTCTGGGGTGCATGGTGCAACCGCGTAAAGGGTGCTGCACCTTAGTCTCAAACGCCTCAAATTTTTTTCTGGTTTTCTTCCTTATGCGTATTTTTAATTGTTCCTACACACAAGAATGATCTTTACTGATAAAACGCTCACAATAGAGTCGCGAAAGGTGAACAGTCTTCTAGCTTGGAGGCTAGACTACTTGCACAGCAAAGGCGACCACGAGCCACTTTGATCGCGGGGGCTGTCTTTAATGTGGAAGACGGTAACAACACTTGTGAGGCATGGATGCACATAGGCCGCTGCGGGCTCGCCGATATTCTTACAAACAGCAGATCCGAAAATCGGTTAGTCTGCGTTTTGGCTATTTTCTTCCACTGAATTCCTAACTGTCAAGTCACTGACCAGACGCACGTTCATTTTTGAACGCCAATTATAACAACTGGCCGTCGCAATGTTTGCCTTCAAGGGGATCAACCCATAACTGCTACCTACCTACGATCGTCTCTGTAGAATCAAATCCTGGCAAACGACCAATACTGACATAGTGACCAAAATAGCTGCTTCCTGAGTGACATACTACCCCAGTTAGGTCGTACATCTGAAAAAAGCATCCATACAAGTGCAATGGTGAAGTGCACTAGGATTCGATTAGAGTCGACGAAGGGCGCAGTTTGACGACGGGGGGGGGGCATTTGGTACTATCATTGCTTCCTTAGTTCTCTTGTGAAACTGGAAGCAAGGTCGTCAAGCCATCATGTTAAAACCTGTCAACTCGAGAAGAGGCTGATAGGTCGACACATGATGGAAAGTAGCAAAAATGCAAATGCCCCCCCCCCCCCACGTCAAACTGCGCCTCGGCGATGATTCAATGAATTCGACGTTCTGAATATAACTACTGTAGAGACTCACAGTGTTCTGTTCCGACGGAGCTGTTTCGGCCAGGAAGGGAGACATATCGAGACTTGCAACAGGATAGATAACCCTCCGCTCATCCTTACTTCTACGGTGCATTGCCTGGTAGGTGGCTGAAATAATGTACTGTTGAAGGATGTTGTTTTTATAACTGCTGTGAAGTTATCCGCCCACTATTTACACTCCTTACGCGAAGATGGGGAGGGCGTGGTCGCTTAGTGCATCTGAACAGGACATAGAACTAGTTTTGCGGGGGATATTCCCAGCCGACACAACTCATCCTGTTTTGTGCTGGACAAAGGCAAAGATATAATTACAACTGCCTCGAAACTACACCATCCCAGAAAAGATGCAGCTGCCGCCACGTTCGAATTAGGTACGCAACCACGCCCATTCCATTTCCGGGATACGGGGTGCACTTTCTGTCGAATAGTAGAACTAGCCCTACAATATATATCCTTACTATAGAGTTACCTGTATATACAAAACGCTTCAGCTGCACAATAAGTATGGGTGGAAGTCTGAAGAGTTCCAACTTCTTTGTTGCTTCGACATGATCGCGACATTTGTTGCAATACCACGATTCTTCAGGCTTTAGCCGCTCCGTTTCAGAGAACATGCTCTGAAACAAGATTGTATTGCGGGCTTACTGGAACCTTACAATTTTACTAGTGAAT